CGTAGGGTAAGGAAACGAAGGGAAAGGCATGCAAAAGAGAGACACCATAACACTTATGTCCAAACTATAAGGAATATTAAATGACATGTTAACTAATTGAAATAAAGACATTATAGTTAAGAGGTGCAGCATACGGTAATGTAGCTTATCTTGCATGCACTGCCACCTACAGTCAATCTGGCTTAAAGGCTGGAGGTTTGGGAAGAATGCAGTAGTTCATTGTGCAATTAATGTAGCATTTAAAGAAAAAATGGGACGCTTCATTTACTGGCCTTGCTCTGCATTGTCACAATTTTCACCCGACGCTAAAATCTGAGGTAAGTGCAACCCATTAGACTATTTAACACCAGCTCAAAAACTGAATGACTGTGGGCCACGGGAAAGAAATTCCCGTGATAAGTCGTAGGCCCACTACCACATTTGTCCAGGCTCTGGTCTTTTCTTCTCTCTCGAACTCGGGTCTTCCCCGGCCAGTCACTACTCTTCTTTGCATTTGTGGATTTGGCACAAACATATTTATCATATGTCAATGCTAGTGTGGAAAAGAATTCGCGAACAAAGTTCAAACATTCCACTGTATTGACTAGTAAGCTTTTTCATATCGAGCTGTATAGTTTATAGTGATATAGACTGCACTGGTATACATTGAGACAGACAGGTCCTATTCTAAACATGCAATTACCCTTAGCCTAGAAAGGGACTATGCCCTTGCACAAGCTTGCTTCCTGCTATTTAGTCTGAAGTTGATTAATTTATTATTTGCAGTGTCAAGCTCAAGACTTTGTAATATATATGATGTGGGTTTTCAATTTCTAGCCATGGCTCGGCTGTCATTTTTATTAGATGGTAAATTATTGTTGTAAAGTCGCTGTTTGATTTAAAAACTGTGTTCAAAAAACACAATTAAATTGGGCCATGCCAAGGTGACGGTCCAGCATGTTTCTGGCCAGGCCATTGTTTAGCTGTCAATCTCTCAAAGCATACCAGTGCAGTGGCATTGCTTTAATTATAATGCTGACTGTGAAAAGATGCTCATTTCAAAGCTCAGTTTATTTGGAGCTTTTTTTCCTCAATGTCATAAAAGTTTTTAGAATCTTTCATTGTATTATTAAGCAGAGTAAGTGCTTCTTTATTAGAGTTCTAGTTAGGATACATTCATTATATTTTTTCTTTTTAATTTTTTCCTTATTCTTTGTTTTCTGACTTTTAAAAGTGTCAGACTTTAGTAAAATCTTATCCCCACCTCTTTTCACTTACTGTCTTTTCTTCCAGATATCTCGGTCAGCCGCAGCATGTCAGCCATTGTGGCCAAAACCTCCCTTCACCTGCAGAGACAGCAAACACAGCTGATATGGACCAAAATCAACGAGCTGCGCCGCACGGCCACTCTTTGCGATGTCGTCCTCAAGTCAGTAGAGGGCACCACTTTCATGGCACACAGACTAATTCTGGTCTCATCAGCGAAGTACTTTGCAAATGCTTTGTTAAATACAGAACCGTGGGTTGTACCAGTAAATCTTCCAGAAGTGTTGATAACACCAGTGTTGGACTACTTGTATGGGGAGAAAATCAGTGTTGGCAAGGATATGCTGCCTCAGCTTGCATCTATGGCAGAGTTTCTTGGTATAGAGGAACTAAAGGGGAGTTGTGAGCAGGCAATGCAATCCGCACTGTCACAACCAACACAATCAGTTGTGACACACCAAACACAATCAGGACTGTCACAACCAACACAGTCAGATTTGTCTCAGCCAGTGCATCCAGAGTTGTCACACCTAACGCAGCCAGATGTGCCACAGCCACTTCAGTCCTCAGATGTGGATGTGGTTGTAAGCATGCTGTCAGGGAATAATTCTTCTGTTGACCCCAAAACAGATGCAAACAATAGCAGTACAACCACAGAGCAGCCTTCCCAGAAGGCATCACCAGCAGTGAATTGCAACAGCACCAGTGGCGAAGGAGACATGGCAACAGACAGAGGAGCGACACGAGGGGAAGGTGAGATGAAACAGGGGAACAACAGGCGTCCTTATGGTCTTAGGGAAGGCAGCATTAAACTAGAGAGCCTAAAGGATTTGCCTGACATCTTGGCTTGCCTGAATCCCAGGGAGAGAGAGGCAGTAAACACAGCTATGAAGATGGTGGAGCAGAACTCTCTTCAGACTGAGGCTCACAGTGAGGAGACGGACCAGGAGGCAGGAGTCCTGGCCAACGTCCCTTTGCACGGCATTATGGGAAGGCTGGAGAAGCCGAAAGACTCCACCAGGATGGGCAGTGGGTCTGCAAGCAAACGGAAATCAAAGCCTAGGCATATAGTGCAAATACGACCTAGGGTGACTGTTGATGAACTCTTATCACCGCCGGGTAAGAGAAAACGTGGGCGGCCCAGGCAGAGCGCTCCTTCCCAACCCAAGATAACGAAGGTGAAAAGAAAAAGGAAATCGAAACCAAAATCGAGTTCTAAATCGAAACCAGAAAAAGACTATGTTCCACATAACCAACCGAAGAACTTTGACAAAACCTCTTATGTTTGTAAACTGTGTCACAGTAGCTTTACGCTGTCTGTGAGTGCAAAGAAGCACATGTTACAGCAGCATAGGTACAGGAGAAAGACAGGGTTCTATCTACAGCTGAGGAGGTATAGATATGTTGGGGCTACAGGGGCACACACAGGGAGGAAGAAAGAGAGGAAAACTTGGCCATGTCATAAGGTATATGTCACATCACATCCACATCTGAAAAATGAAGAGTGCAATGTGTGCGGGAATAGTTATAGACGGGGCACAATTAAAACGCTTTCTTCTTGTAATTTGGTGAAGCCGTAAGAATAATTCATTCACTGTTTATTGAGAACATCTATTTGTCTGTTTATAAAATAAACTGTTTTATTTTATTGTATTTATATATTATATTTATGTATTTATACTTGTTTTGAATGTAACTTGTAACTTTTGATGAGACCAGTAATATCGTAAGACCAATCTGATGTTAGTTTTTCCTGCACCTAAACTCTTTATTTTTCTTTTAATTATCAGTGCTTTAAGACCTTCACAGATCAGCTCCATTTGGACCTGCACACCAGGTTAAAGCACCAGACATTGGGCCGCCCTTCAAAGAGGTCCAGTAGTGTCAGGACACACAACAAAGAGAAAGTGCTAGGGACGTGGACAGCGTTCCAACTCAGAAACTTACTCACCAGGCCCTACTTCAGTGGTAAGATTGTCTCTCAGAAGAGACCACTCAGGGCCAGGTCTACACGGAGAGTGCCTTCTTTACAGAAAAAGACAATCAGATCTGCAATAAGTAAACTGAAGAAAACATGCGCTCGCACGAAGACGAAGACTCTACTGCAGTGTCACCACTGTGAGGAGAAATTTAAGAGCAGGGTAGGGCTTGAGGATCACATACAGATCATGCATGGGTCTAGCATTTGTGACCAGTGCGGTGAGGAAGTGGCACAGAAACAGATGGCGCTGCACATGGCGGAAACTCATGGCCTTGGGCACCGTTTTTATAAGGACAAAGACTGTGAAAAATGCCAGCAAACTTTTCAGCTTAAAGAGATTTTTAAATTCCATTGGAAGCAGACGCATGACATTGATGTATTTCCTTGTGCCGCAAAGGAGTGTGATGAGTACTTCCTTTCGTACACTGCATGGTGCCGACACATGCAGCG